ATGATTTATATTATTAAATAATGACATTTAACAAATTTATATTGTTAAATAATAATATTTAATGATCTATATTATTAAATAATGATATTTAATAATCTAGTCTGTTAAATAATGATATTTAATGACATTTACTACTAAATAATGATATTTAATGATATATATCATAAAATAATAATATTTAATAATATATTTTATTAAATAATAATATTTAATGATATACTTTGTTAAATAATATATATTGATAATTCTGATATATATTAATATATATATCAAATATCTATTTTGATATACATTGATGATTCTAATATATATTAATATATAACTAATGATAAAAATCAATACAAATCATCCCAAAAAATTTTCTGATGTATATAAAATAAGATTATTAATTTCATATTAATTAAATAAAAGATAGAATAATAAATAAGTTATGTATATTTTTTCATTTTTTTTTATTATTTTTTTATATAATAAGATTAATAGAAAGACTTTTTCAGAATCTTTATATCTTCTGAAATATTTTATTATATAATATATAAACTTATTAATAAAATTATATATAAAGCATAAATATTACAAAATAAAAAGAAATAATAAATATATATCATTATAAAACATGACATAATATATTATATAAAACTTATTATATAAATATTATGTATTTAAAAAATTTATGAATATTTAGTTAATATCATATATAAAATAACTTTGAAAGATTTTTATTCACCTCTGTCAGGATTATATTATTTTTTGATGATATATTTATTAAAAACAAGTAATTATAATATAGAGATGGATAAAAATTAATAATCAAAATGATCAGGATGATCAGAATCTAATAATTGCTAGCTTATTAATAGTGACATAATTATTAAAGATGTTATAATGAGCAGATTTTCATAATAGCTTATAATGGATAACTCATGAGACCAGGATTTTTATAATTAGTTAAGTGCTATTAATAACTAAAAAATCTATTGGACAATGATCATGCGTGTGATATTTTAATCACGTGCATGCACTTAAAGAGGTAATGATATAATAGAACTAAAATTTATTGCACGTGCAGAACATAGTGAGTGTGCATTTACCACTATAGTCCCAGCTTGGGACAAATAATAGAGTGCATTTAAAGAGGATATGCACTTATAGAGGGTGCATTTAGAAAGGTTTATCTTTATTCTCATAGAATGAATACAGTATAAAGTAAATAATTTTTAGTTTCTTAGAAAATTTCTATTTTCGTTTAAAAAGTAATATCTTGTTATGTAGAACAATTTCATTTAAACATTAAATATTTTGTTGATTTTTACAAGCTATGACAAATTAAATTTTAAAAAATAACTTCATAAATTTCTGATGCGCTTTCCTCAATAAAGATAATAATTTGATCCTTAGTACTTTAAATTAAAATATTTTCATTTAGTCATATATTTGGCGTTTTTGTATGATAAATACACAACCCATATTTTATTATTTTGGCATTGTAACGTCTATATAAGCAACCGTATTTTTTATGTTGTTTAGCAAAATTAAGTGTTAATTTCATTTATTAAATAATGAATAACCCTGCAACAGATCTACCCAAAATATTTATAGAAGCATTAACAATTCATACCGGCAAACGCCCAGCAATCGGTGAAAATGTTATACGCAAAAACACCGCGCCGAATGTTGAATTCAAGCATTCGTTTCTCATTTTGCCCAGTCGACGAAATTCTGTTGATGATCTAATAAAAATATTTAGATTTGTAGCTGGCATGTTGCTATTCTTTATAATGAATTCATTTTTTTATTTTATGATTTATTTATTGTTTTGATAGGATTTGTTTGGAGAAATGAACCGAGTGTTGATTCTATTTGTAAGCGATTTTTCTAGCGCCTATAAGTTTTCTTAATTATTTGCAACAAAAAATCAGTCAATATTTAAAAAGGGATCGACAGACAATCAACTCGGGCGATCTTAAGAATTACACATAAAACTCGATTTCTCTTTACGCCATTTAATCAAACGATCTTAAAGTAATGTGGCATTAAGATTATTTTTTTAATTTATTTTTTGTACTAATATTTTGATTTATGATAAAAAGTAAATTTTTTTTGTTTTTTAGAGCTACTCAGATTTATAGTCTTCGTCAAGGAGAGGATGAGAAATACTATATCAGTCATCTAGAAGAATTCGTGCATCCTGAAGAATTACTCATATTCATCTTCGGATATATTCCATTTATCAGAACTATTGTGGTTATATTCAAAATCCTTTTGGGCATGTTTATTGCATTTATTGGGCGCATTTTTTATGAGTTTGGTTGGGTTTAAGAACTTTGAGAATAATTTAGCATTGCAGATATTAAATATACATGTCAATTGGTTAATCAATCTTAAATATATACAATAATTGAAAACTTATGCTTTAAAATTGATGATGAATTTTCTATAACACTTGTCAATAACATTTATCTATAATTGAAAAAATATAAAAATATAAACTAATACAATCTTATTCGAATACTTCTTTGAATGATAATAACAAACAATATTTTTTGTCATACAGTATATTATCATAGATTTTTGTTCACTCAAAAATCTCATTCTTAATACAAATATTTGTTTGAGATCTCTGGTATTGGAAAAAAGGGTGGCTTTAATTTATTACCAATAACATATACTATTTCATGTGGTAACTTACAAGGAAATGGAATTTATTTTGTATTACGGTAATGTAAATTGTAATTTCGATTACATGTACATGTATTTTGATTATTGACAAACGGAAATCCATGTGACCGACATCGATTTTAACAAGTATAATGTCCTATGCTTCGCTCCGGAAAATAATTCGAAACAATATTCGATCTTCTAATATAAAATTCTATTCGTTTTATTTGTTTTGCTAATGAAGATCGTTCGAATAAAAAGCATCCATAATTACGTTGAATGGGATAAATAAGGTTTCATCGATAGTCTACTCACATATAATTTATGAATTGGCTCGAGACCCCCTCAATTTAACGTCCCTAGAGGGCAAAATTTGTGTCGAATATTCGAAGGAAATTTATTTATTCGAATCCAAGTACTATCCTTTATTACCTGATAAAGTATCTAATAAAATAAAAATTTCTTTTTATATTAAAATTTTTATTTTATTAAAAATTTCTAATCCTATAATTATTGCAAAAATGATTTAGAATTAAATTAATTAAATTTATATTTTATAATAATTATTTAATTAGAAAAACCTTTAACAAATTTAATGTAGAGAAATACTGTCAATTAGTTAAATTTAGGCGTTACATCTTCAAAGTTCTATTCAAATTCTATTTTGGGCTCTATCCAAAATCAAACTCTATTTATTTTTCTTTGAATAATTGTCCGCAAAACTTATTTTTTCTTTCTATTACGCTTCTTATACATTATTTTATTTAATTTCTATTAATCAATAGATCCATAATGATTAATTAAGAAATCTTAAAAATGTAAAATAATTAAAAATGTATAAAAAACTGTTCTTGTTAAAATAAAATAAAGGTATAAAAATTGCGAATAATTATCTTCTCATTGAATAATCTTTAATATATTCTATAATATTATGTCTTTTTTTATTTGTCGTTAAGTTTTATTAATAATAACAGCCAAATTTTTAATATATGAAATATTATAATATTATATATACAGTGCGGGACAGCATAAGATATCCACTTTTAGCTGGCTTACAAAAAATCTTATAACTTTTGAACAAATAATTAAAATAA